CCCGATTTCAAATTGTATGAAAAATCGGCCAAATCGAATCGGCGTAGTGTGCGCACTCCCATACATGCTGATGTCATACTGATCAACAGCCCGACTAAACTACTTATCGGCCGACGAAAAATCAACGGTGTGCGCCTACTCTTAGAATGCTTACCACGATACAATCATAGTTTTTAGACAACAGCCTATGGATAGTCTAAAATCGATAAAATGTTCTTCGTCGCATTGTAATGTCTTGAGTATAAATCAACGACCAGACAACTCAAGACAGACTGTCTTACGTTGTCTTGAAAGGGTTGGGTTGGCCTTAGAACGAAAAGCGCCGACTGTATACGAACTAACAGTACAGAAGAAGAAGAAAAAGACCTGATGTTGCAGTCGCCTCTTTGGCCGCGCGATACTGGCCACTAAGAAGACTGCATTATTTTCTCGACAGCCAATTTATCGATATTCATTAAAATTTGTTTTTTTCTCACTATTATGGTTCTTGCAACTCACGAAGGCGAGTGAGCTTTATAGTCCAGTCATTTCGTCCGAAAAAAAGGCAAATAAAAGAAAATGAATTTGCGCTTCTAATTTTTTAATATGTTGTAGGGGATACCTAGAAAAGCTTAACTTGAGATTGTCGACCAAGCTTTCCTAGGAGCTTTCGCCGCCATCTTGGAAAACGCTTAAAATTTGTTTTTCGGCAATAACTCGGCTATCCGATGAGATTCGAAAATTTTTGTAAGACTCTTTTTGTAGCTTTCTTTGTGCTCTACAATAACGCCCGAACCATTTTTAGCGTATCATGCATCGTTATCGAGATATCGATCGATAAAGTCAAAAATTTTGGACACAATTTTTGTTTTTTTCTTTTTTTTTCTTTGGGTCTTAATAAATATGAAAAATTCCGAAATAATTAAATAATTAATTAAAAAGTAAAAAGTAAAATTTAATTACTTTTAATTACTTTTTAATTACTTTTTTTTAAGTAACGGCAAAGCATTTGTATTAGTTGGTTCTTGTTTTGATCCCTTGTGAGAAACTTCTCCTGGCTAACTTTTGGAGTAGTTGTCTCATCGAATGTGAACTCCGGCGATTGGTTTTTTCTCGAACGTCGTACTCTTTCCGAAGTTTTCGTTCCAGCGAGTGTCATATCAGTCGGATAACCGTCGAATATGATTGCAACCTTTCCTTCGAAGTTATGTTGTACGTATCTGACGTTAATTATTTAATTATTCCGAAATAATTTGTGTCCAAAATTTTTGACTTTATCGATCGATATCTCGATAACGATGCATGATACGCTAAAAATGGTTCGGGCGTTATTGTAGAGCACAAAGAAAGCTACAAAAAGTGTCCTACAAAAATTTTCGAGTCTCATCGGATAGCCGAGTTATTTCCGAAAAACAAATTTTACCCCTTTTTTCAACATGGCGGCGAAAGCTCCTAGGAAAGCTTGGTCGACAATCTCAAGTTAAGCTTTTCTAGGTATCCCCTACAACATATTAAAAAATTAGAAGCGCAAATTCATTTTCTTTTTTGAATGTACGTAATGACTGGACTATTACTTGTGTGTGTACATAACGATAGTGTAATATCTATCAAAACTTTTGAAAAACGAACAGTAGCGAGCCACCACACATGTAAAACTCATTCGCCTTCGTGAATTGCAACAGCTATATGTGGCTATAATATATACTATATATATAATATGGCTATAATAAGTGACTACCTATTTAGTTTTTTTTAAACAGTAGTAATTATTACGAATTGCTCTCGGTGTAGACCCAACCCAATAAGGGTAAGGGGCAGCTGAAAGCAAATGACCAAAATCGATACATGCTTCAATAATAGATGCCCATCCGACGCGGGTTCGATTCCCCTGTAATATCATCGATTGTAACCGTTATAGCGTTGTTCTGAACCAAATATTGTGAAACGTTCTGACAGTAATATTTTGGTGATAGGTTATTTTGAGCTAGACTATGAATAATGTTTTCATAGAGCTTGTATAATTTAATGATATTATTATCATACTTATAATTGCTGATATTTTGGGAACGGTATACTTGCAATAGGTAAATTATTGAGTTCAAAGTAAGCAAAGTATAGTTACTAGTAGTTGGGTCCGTGGCCGAGTCCCCCAGTATTTGACGCACCCGTGGTGGACGCCCCCGATTTAAATAAATTTAATATCATATTTTTTTCGGCTTTTGCACTAAGTACAGTCAACGAAAAAAGTTTCACAAGCTAATTATTATACTAAACTATGCATGTTTGACGCTATTTATGCAATCTGTGAGCAAAATTTTAACCCAAAACTAGCAGTAGTAAGAAACAAAAAACTTTTGTAGGAATTATTTTCATTGCATTAGATTCATTTTTGTGTTTAATTCTACTGGCCTAATAAATATTTATTCGTTTATAAACATTTTCGTGCCTGACTGTACATTTGATTAAAAATTGCTTCAAATCGAATTTAACTGACCGGGGGCGTCGACCACGGGTGCGTCGAAAACTGGGGGACTCGACCACGGACCCCTAGTAGTTTACTAGTAGTCGATACTATGTTATAGTGATTAACTTGATGTAATATCTACTACGACATTACATCAGACCATACTTACATTTTTATCTTACCTTACCTTATCGAGGAACTTACGTTATAACATCACCCTTTAGCTAATAGGGGGGTTCAATAAAGAAAAAAAATGTTAAAACGGGAACTATTGTTCAAACTATTTTCACGCGTCGGTACGAAGTCGCGGGCACAGCTAGTCTATATGTATTAAAGCGAAAAGTGACTGACTGACTCATTCACTCATCACGAAATCTCAGAAACTACAAGTGCTAGGAGTCTCAAATTTCGCATGGGGGTTCCATTTAGAACGTAGATGCTCACAGAGACGGGAATTTGCAAAATAATAACCCTAAGGGGGTAAAATGTGATCCACGCGTACATAGTCGCGGGTATAGCTAGTCTATCTATAAAATAAAGCACAAGTCCGGCCCACTTTGCACACAGGAAGCCTGCACAGTGCAACTAATAATAGCACTGTCTCTCTTTATGCCTTTATCGCGACAGCAAGATGCGTCCCACATTCGTCAATAGTCGCTATCAAGAACCTAGTTTATATGAATGTAGATAGCGATTGCGACAGCGTGAAGGAGATTGCTAAGATATTTTATTAATTAACGACGGGAAATCGAATGGGATACCTTATGCAATCGTAATATATGCTATTATGCAACAGAAATTGATGTATGTATGATTTGCTGATGACTGTTAGCCCATTGCATTGAGTTATAATAATGTTCACATAACTCGTAGAGCTGATGGCCGCTGGGGCAGGAAAGTTCTTGAGTGGCGACCACGAGCCGGAAATCGTAGCGTGGGCAGGCCTCCCACTAGGTGGACCGACGATCTGGTGAAGGTCGCGTCAGGTGCCTGGATGCGAACGGCGCAGGACCGGTCTTTGTGGAAATCCTTGGGGGAGGCCTTTGTCCAGCAGTGGACGTCTTTCGGTTGAAACGAACGAATGTTACATTTTCGTAAGTCGTAAGTATTTTTTTCGAAAACCATTATAACTAGTTCTTGCAACTCACGAAGGCGAGTGAGCTTTACTTGAGTGTGTACGGGTACATGCACATAACGATAGTGTAATGTCTATCAAAACTTTTGAAAAACGAACAGTAGCGAGCCACCACACATGTAAAGCTCACTCGCCTTCGTGAATTGCAACAAATATAATACCTTTTCTAATCCACAAATTCGTCAAAATATTCAATTAAGTAAAATAATAAAGAAGGTATTGCCATAATTTGCAATGGCTTTTTCGTACAGTTTTTTTACTATCTTGCGGCTCTGGACGTTTCTGTTTAGTGAAAAATCTTTCACTGTGTCAGAAAAAAAATATTTACGTCCTACACATTTCAGTTTGATCAGACATTAGGTATGTCAAGTCAACGTTTACGAATCAATAAAAAAATATCAACTTTTTACGTTAAAATAAAAAGCACAGTAAACAGGTAATTTGAAAGAATTTACTCACAAGTCTAGACAACTGTTTTCGTGTTTTTCACAAAGACCAATTTATTTTAGGATTTTTAAAGTCACCTTGTCGTTCGAAAATGCACGTATTTACGCCACCATAATTGATTGCTACAAGCATGTAAACTTAAATTGTCATTGTTATTGAAAATAATCTGTTACAACTATAATCCCAACACAATACGAGTAATAACTTTTGGTAAGTAGTCATTTCATAGTTGTCCAATAGAAATAATAGCTTTTTTAACTTTAGAATGTAGTGTAATTAAAATTTATTAATATTTTATAGCATCAATGTTTTTTTTAATAACACTCACAGTTCATACGAGTATGAGTCCATTAAAAATGCATTTTAACTGGGAACTTACTTATTCATTTTATGTTTCAAAATATACCCCCAATAGTTACGAGTACATGTTTTAAATCAACTAAAAATCTGTTAACATAAGTATATCTTTCAAGCATAGTAAATCATTATAAATCTTTCAACGATTTCAATAGTTACGGAAAAAGTAGACTTACAAATAAATACATCGTACTCAAACGCAGTAAGAATATTATTTAAATATATTTTTACGATATAAAACGGACAAAAAAAATTCAAATCCAAAAACTACCAACAAAATTGCACTGAACTGGACGCTACCATCACCAATTTTTTGTAATACATAATTTCATGCTGCCTAACCTATCTAAAATAATTTAGATTTAGATCTGATAATAATTAGCAAAAGAAAAAAATATTTCAAAACAAAAGAATGTCGAAATAAATCAGAACATTATAAAGTGCATAATAAAATATTCCGTACTGGCCATTATAAAGTCTAGCTTTTAAAAACAAACAGCGTCGTGTCGTGTCATTGGCTGAAATTCAAAAATAGAAGCTTCACTCGATCAAAAACCGAAGATCGCGTCTTCCGCGGTTTTTCCACAGAGCTCGCATGTCATTCATGCGCGAGTTCGAACTTCGAATAGCCGGTGAAAATAAATTGTTTATACGTAGGTATGTCCACGTAAATACGTAGCGGTCAGTCAGTTGTCAGTTAATAGTGGAAGAGGGGCGCGAGCCACGTGTCCACTACGGCTAATAAAATAGTTTTTCCTTTTAGTTGGACACGGTACGCAACACGTGGTCTCGTTAAAGTTCGGCAACAATTCGCCTGATAATACAAAGTTTCGCGGCGCGTGATTTGTGTATGTGTGTTGTGCAGTGATTGTTTTTTGTTTTCCGTGATCCCGGTGTGTGATTCGTTTTTGTTTCTGTGGTGCACTTGTTTTTGGATTTCGAACCGGTGAGTTGTTTTTTTTTTTATTTGCCGAGGGTATTTAAAGCAATGTTATAATCTGTGAATTGCAGTGTTAGCGTTTTGAGCCAAATTTGAATTTCGAACGTTTTATTTAGGTCTTCGTAATCATGGGCCTTGATTTAAAATTATTAGGTATTTATAAGAGTACATAACAAAACATTATTGTTTTTATTTTCTAATTCATTACTTTTACGGTGTATGTAACGAGGTTCATTTCTTAATTTAATTAGGTATTATAGACGCAAAAAAATACATCAATTTAAAAGTAGGTAATAATAAAATTAACAGATTATTTTCACATCAGAAAATATCGTTGCGTAAGTTGAAAATATCTTTGAAAACGTTCTGCAAAAGAGCGTTTCACGTAATACATAATAGCAATGTAATAAAAATAATGATGAATTTGCATAGGTAGGTATCTACTTTTTAGTGATAAATAGATTCTCAATTGCTATCACTATCATTAATAATAGAATAACATAACGAAGTGTTCTTTTAATCATGCTAGGTACTTATTGATAACAACGTTACCTAGTTATGAAATGCTTTCTTAAATCACTAGCTGACCCAGCGAACTTCGTTCCGCCTATGTTCAACAGAAATAGCAAATGCATAGTAAAATGTTTTATTCTAATGCTTCGCCAACCTATCCCTGCATACTTCCGCAAGTATAACCCATAATTATGTTGCCTACGTATACTCGTATACAGGATGTCCCAAAATTAGCACGTCACACTGACACTGGAGGTAGCTGAGTCTAAGACGCATCGAAAAGTTCCATAAGTTTTAAGATAGGTATGACCATTTATTTATTCATGTCCATAGAAAATTTTGATGAGTTTTGAAATTATGACTCATATTAGTTATTTTTAAACATATACTTGTTAGATGCGTCTTACGCTCATTTACCTCTGGTGTCAGTGTGACGTGCAAATTTTGGGACACCCTGTATACTAGGTATCATCCTTTATCAGTGGCATTTGACCCGTGTTATCGCGGCGATAGGTCAACAAAGTTCTAGCACGTGGACCCAAGTGGAGACAGGACTATATTTGTATCTAAGCACTATAGATTTTGCCCGCGACTTCGTCTATGTGGATTTTTTATCTATACTATCTATCTATACTAATATTATAAATGCGAAAGTAACTCTGTCTGTCTGTCTGTCTTGCTTTCACGCCTAAACCACTGAACCGATTTTGATGAAACTTGGCATAGAGATAGTTTGAGTCCCGGGAAAGGACACAGGATAGTTTTTATCCCGGTTTTTGAAACAGAGACGCGCGCGATAAAGTTTTTTTGTAACAGACAAAATTTCAACGGGCGAAGCCGCGGGCGGAAAGCTGGTATCGTTACAAATTTATAGCCTGTATGTTTTTCTGATAACACTGTAAGGTTTCACTAGAACCTGTTTAGTAGCCTTTGCAAAAGTAAGAAATATCCGTCCATCTCACCCATCCTCATTTCACATTTGACTATTCTAGTAACATTAGAAGTAAAATGAAGTAGGATAGTATAGGATCTGAAGTAAATCTTATTGATTATGATGTGACACGGTGGAGGGTTGAAGAGGAGGCCTATGTTCGAAGGCGAACCCCCCCCCCTAAAGGCTGCTGTGGATAGATAGATGATGTGACACGATGATGTAATATACAAAAATCAGGCCTCCCCAACCTGTCTGGTCAGCATGTAGAGTGTTAGTGACCAAATATTCCATTTGCCTTCGGTAAATTGGAAAGGTTCTGCAGTGGCAGTGGAGACTTAAAGTTGACCGGAAGATATTTTAGATGATCGAAACCACATTGGTTACCGTTTCATTATACCTATTATTGTTTATAAAAAATAATTTATGTTACTTCTCTAAATAAATTGACAAGTGTGTAACCATTCAAGTGAACCTAATGTTCTAGATTCTAGGGACTGTGCACACCACGTGTTTAAAAAGCGCCGTTAACGCGCGTGTGTAGCGATACACAAGTCGAACGCAGTCTGTAGCCCTTTGCAGTGTCGTCTGCGCGTTTATAAAACGTGGTGTGCATAGGCCCTTAGGTCTCTGCTATCAGCGTCTGGGCACAGGTCACCGCACATTCGCACTATCGCTATCTAACACATAGATCGTTCAGTTATGTCATCGTATTCAATGCAACCACTATCTGCACTCACGTCAAACTAAGACTTTATGAGAGTGTTTACTTGGGAGCACTTCCTACTCGTAGATTTTGATTCTGTTTGACAGTTAAAAAGATGTTGAATATTTTTTGAGATCGTTTCTTTTTGTATTTTTTAAATTAGGCAATGTACATACAGCATGTACTCGTATTAGGATCGTTTGTTTCAGTCAAATGACGTCCACTGCTGGACAAAAACCTCCTCAAGTATTTTCTTAACGATCGCTCCTGCGCTGCCCGCATTTAAGATCATTTAAATTGGCTATAATATTACTACTTTTAGAAACTTTTCAAATCTATGTTTAGTCTAGTTTGCCTTAAGCTTAAAATAAAGTTAATTACTCAACTACTAATGCAGCTAACTCGATTGTGCTTACTTTCTAAGAAACAGCTTTACTTATTCAAATAAAATTACCTTAGCAAGCTAATTTACGTAACTTAAAACATATTTTGTGATCATTAGAGAGTTAGATGCAGTGGGTGAAAGCAATAAATTATTTGGCAAAGAAAAGGTAGGCATTAAGACTTTTTGTTGCTGGCAAGACCGAAAATTCTTCATTTACAGACCAAGAAAAACAATTTTCTAATCATCTAAGGCTGGATTGCACCATCTTACTTTTACTTTGAATCTGTCAAACTCCATACAAAAAGCACCGGCTATCGTTATAGTTACGGTTAAAGTTTGATGGTGTGAGTTGCACCATCAAACTTTGAATGTAAATTGTCGCACTATTTGTACGAACAAAAATCTATCGAATGGGGTCTAATTCGAAATTAAATTTTCGGCGACACTGACAGCTCATATAAACTTATCGAAATTATCTGCCACCAGTTTTAAATCAGACAACTGCATCGAGACAATGTGGCGATATGCCACAAACAAAGTGATTCCGACCGAAATATATTGCAGTATCGCACATTGCAGGAGAAAATAAAATGTGAGCGTGTGGGTGTGACCTCGGAGTAATTATTTCTGTCTTGCAACGCGAGATGCACAGAGATAGATCTGTCACTAACCGGCCGGTATAAAATTGTTTACTTTAGATTATAGTTGATGACGCCTGGACAGATTCTAGGCGATTTTTTATTGGTTCTTAGAAAATTGCTGGTCTTTTTAGTTTATTGAAAGAAGTGCTTAGGAATTTTCAGTTTTATTGCTATTTTATTGAGTGAAATGCTTAAGAACTTTCAGTGTCGTTATTTAGTGTTTAAAATATGATTTAGATCAAAGACTATGAAAACTTTTGACGTTTTTCTCAAACACATAATTAAGTCTTGTTCACACGGTATAATTATCAACTTTAATTTATAAGCCAGTTTCTAGTTACTTATTTTATCAAACTATATTATTATGAATCAATTAAAAATTAAGTTTTAGGAAATGCAGTAAATTATACTCATTGGGTTTTAGGTAGGAAGTGATTATTTTATTAACAACTATTTCAAACTTCTAGTTATTTAATTTGAGTGGAAAAAAGACAAAGAAAATATATTACGTACATCCAATTTTAAAAGCATTTGAAATCTAAGTAATGAAATTAATCGAACACATAATAAAAATGTTGACTATTCTGAATTGTATGTTAACATGCTCAATCTTGTTGTAAAGTGACAAATAGTTTTCATTTTAATTAGAAAATGTTAGTCTAATAATATTATTTTATAAATTGATCTTTAACCTAAAAAAACAAGATGATAGTTTTTGGAAAATTACCAACGCATTTCGTCTGCTACTTTCTCATTAAATTACATAATCTATCGAAAACATGTTAATTATTTTAATGTTGTACATTATACAGGCATATCACTTATTTAAATAGGTTCCTGTGGTAATGGACTGCGATAATCTAATTTATCCATAATATTTAAAACAGGTGAGTATTCCAATGACTTGGCCCACTTTTAGCTTCGTCCGCGGGCCAAGTCGCTGGTTTGAATTTTTAAATAGTTTTTCTTCTTCACCAGATACCAATTTAGTACAACAATTTTTTTGCTCTTTATGTTGATTTGTATCGTTCTATTTTTCATCATCATCATCATTTCGTCCACGGCTGAAAATAGGCCTCCCCCGATGCTTTCCATGTTGTCCGGTTGGTAGCGGCATGCGTCCAGCGCCTTCCTGCTAGCTTTATGATGTCATCGGTCCACCTTGTAGGTGGTGTAGGTATGTGTTTTATTGCATCAAAAATATACAGCCTGATTGATTGTAATTTGTTGTTAATATTATTTAAAACATTTTATTATTACTTAATAAATTAGAAGATTTTGCGTTCATTAGTAAAAATTGTCATTCCTAGCAACAAATACTTAGTATAATGTCATTAATTTGATAGAACCAAATGAGAAAATTATACTAACTGCCGCTGCCAACGATATTTTTTCATCTTGATGAATTCAGCCTACAAAATTATACAAAATATCATCGTAGATAAGATATCAGTCAGTAGGACCACCTACTATGGTGTTGGTATCGGTCTGTAAATGTTTTTGTTGCATATTGGAAAACATCCATACCATAACCTTCCTTCTGGCGCAACCGGTTAAAAAGCGTCACGTTTAGTGAAATAATAAGCAAGTTGGATAAACGTTTATGTTAGTCGTAGAAAAAGAGTTTGAAATAATAATATGTGGGTGTTCAATTTTGGTCTCTATAACTAAAAATACACAATATGAACTTGACTTACTTGACTTAAGGTCCTATGTCCCCTAGATGGGGCAGAGGGCGTCCAAAACAGTCCTCCATCGCGTTTGGTCTTGAGCTTCGCGTTTGATCTTGCTCCAAGTCATGCCGATCTTCTTCGCCTCGTCTGCCACAGT